TGCTACCCAGAACCTCACTGGTTGTTTCATTTGACTATCCGCTAGTAAAATAATTCCCATCCTTTTTTTCTGAGAGCATTTAGTAAGTTACAGTGTTCAGCTATAAATGACTGACCAATTGCTACAATCCCTAATATACTGGTACTTCTACCTCCAATCACAAGTTTGATAGATGACGTGAAATGAATCCCTACCTACTATTAATGAATTATTTACATCCGCGCCTACTTCTAATGATCCTTATTACACAAGAATAACTTGGTGATTAATCCTTTGAATTTGCAGGGATACCATAATAATGAATTAGCTCTCATATGGCTATCGGACTGTGAAAATCATCGAAAATCGGTTTTCGAATTTTAATGAGGATTGCTCACCAGAGCCTTCAAAACTTATTGTTTCTTCTGGCTTAGTTGTAAGCTTCTCCGATTAGGTTTATTCAGCGAGAAAATCATTTGATAAGATGAAGGATGCAGTTTTGGGGCGTTAATCATTGCCGTCTGAAGGATGCGCCCACGCTTTTGACTTCTATTCAGAATCGTAGTAGCGGATTGAATGCGTATGTGGCCTATACAATGACTTACAATAGCCAGCCGATGTACAAGTCACTGTGTTATCCTCCCAGGCGGGCCTGGTACCATTTAATCGACCCAGAGGGATGGCAGACTTCGACTTCGGCCTAAGCGGCTATCAATCCGGGTTACGAATCCGTGATCATGCATGTGTGATATCGCGCCACTTGCCACTACACCACCTCCGCTCTGAGAATTAATTATTTGTGATAAAAATGACACCCTGAAGGTTCATATTTTAGAACGCCATCGAGTTTCCTCGACTCATTTCCTCATAAATTCTCCCTTCTAAGTGAGAATAGACGATTTTGACTGGCGGGTAATCGAATCAGTTTTAAGTGAGAAAAAAAGTAATAAGTTCAAAATTCTTAAGTCTTTGGAGAGCCCCATAAAGGCATAATTCGTTTGAAGGGTCAGTGGCTAATTGGTGGTTCATCTCAACCGTGTACTCACTAAGCTTCAGGTGGAAATTTAAAAATATTAAAGTGAAAAATTCGAAAATCTCTTTTAGAAGTTGGCTACAACAAAAGTCCTCAGAACATTTTCAGATTTTGTGCCATTTCTAGCAGGCAGCCGTTGTGAAAGTCAACTTCTGTCCTTTCGCAACTTGACCTTATGGCTTTTTCAATTACCTCAACGGGTTCTCAAAGTAATTCAATGCATATGACTGAGTAATGGCCAAAAGATGAATGCAGGTTGGCGACCTTCTCGCTTTTTTCTTGATCCTTCTTTTCATTGTGGTAAATATTCCTTCCTGCATCCTTGCCTATTCATATTCATCAGATAAGTGGCACAGGCATTTCCCTATAAGCTGAACAAAAGGCTTTGCAGATGCTCCCGTTGTTATCTGCAGGGATCTGGGCCGGCCTCTGGAGAGCCGGGGTTGGGTGATTCATCATTGAAGGTGATGGTAAGTTAGTCCCAACTCGCTTGGTCTGAGGATCAATTCTCGGATCGATATTCTGGGCCTGAATGAGTTTGCCATCCATCCGGGGCCGGCTAATTGGTAGCATAGTCGTGTGGAAAGGGGGAAACTCTTACTTATCCATCAAATGTGGAGAAATATTGGGCTCTTCCTGTTCTCCCCACTCGATGGCATGAGGATATTTGCGGAACTTGAGATTCATGGACGGAGTGAGTTGTGCAGTGCTCTGAACGACACAATTACAAATGTATTTAACAAACACCACAGAGTTTATTCCCGACGACAGCATGAAGAATTCACTCAGAACACAATCAATCGGTCACTTAAGTGAATGAACCGGTATGCGATAGCTAATGCTAGCTAGTAACAATAGTTGTGTTGACCAGGCCAAACGACGAGGAGACGACGACGACGACGACGATGACGATGATGATGGCAATCATCTCTTCCAGAATTTTCGTGAAAACATCTGTTTACGTACATGCAGGGCATCTGAGTTGTTCTCGTTGACTCTGGTGAGCAATTGTGAGACCATCGACTGTAGATCGTCCTGTCTGGGTACATGCAAACCTGCAGCTGATGTGCCATCAACGGCATTACCGAGCATCTGAAATGGAAAGGCTTCAATAAGGGAATTCGAAGAAGTTGAAATTTCAAAAAGTTGGTCAAGCAGTGTTCATCTCACACACTCACTCGTCATCCCTTGAAACTTCTAGCAATTCAGCCTTCAATCTCGTCCCCATCCCTGTTGCCCTCCCTCAAAAATGTCCAGCGCAGGTGGGAAAGTTGTAAGTGAATAAGGCTACTCTTCGAGAGTAATCAAATTCGGAGGGTGAAGTTTTTCGTGTTGGTTATTCCCGTTTTGGGACGCACCCACGCCTTCATCTAACAGGTATAGAATTACGTTAAATGGGTATAGAATTACTTGGGAGCAAAAGCCGAAGTTGAGATTAGTACTTCCACGTGGCCAAATGAGTCCAGGAGGAATACAATGTATGGTGGACCT